ACCCTTGCTGCGCAAGGGGAACACCGAGGTGTAACGCGAGTAGTCGTCAACCACCAACAGGAAGTAACGCTCGTGACCCTGGCCACGGACGCGGGCGGGGCCCCACACGTCCATGTGAAGAGTCTGCAGCGGAGCCTCTATCGGAGGAAACTCGGAGGAGTGAGGGGCTGCGCGCTGCCGCCCCTCAACGCATGGAACGCAGGTAGGGGCAGGCCCCGGAGGAAGGGGAGGGAGGGACCGGGGGAGACCAGAGACAAGGTAACGGGAGGCCATGCCTCGGAGACGAGGCAGGGAGGGGTGACCAAGGCGTTGGTGCCAGAGGAGTGTCCGGTGGGAAAGGAGACGACACGAGCAGGGAGCAGACTCAGGACCAGACCTGGACGCTGCAGCAAACACCTGACCCGACGCAGCTACCTGACCAGACTCAGCAACTGGAGGAGACTCAGTAGTCAGCGTGTACAGGCTCGACCCCGGCTGACGGGTAAACGTGGCCAAGTGTCGGCCCGTCCGAGCACACGTACAGTGGGTCACCCGCTGACTCGCAGGAGTGAATTGGTCAACCCCCCCATCCTGTAGATCAGCACCACTCACCAAGTTTGTAGAGAACGAGGGGAGGTAGAGACCAGACAGGGTGCCAGAGGGGGACGCCGGACACGGTAAGACAGTGGAGAAGTGGGCAAGGACAGGACCCCCGAAGGGGTCCGCCAGGGAGACCGCAACTGGCCGACTAAGTGGCGTAAGCGTGGTGCGGTCTCGAAAGAAGGAGCGCGAAGCACCCGACTCAAGGGTGAAGGTGTGTAAGGCTTGAGCCGACGTGGTACCTGAGAGAGCAGACGCACCAGTACCTGGGGCAGCAGACTCACCAGCACCTGGAGCAGCAGACGCACTAGCACCTAGAGCAGCAGCCTCACTAGCACCTAGAGCAGCGGTCTCAATGCCCGGGTCAGGCGGAACACACACGTAACAGTCACCCTCATCACTAGTAGGCAATGTATACATGGTAGTGAGGATAGCATCATAGTCAAGAGTATAGATATCTACCCTCAGCCTAAGCAGCTCCACCCAGTCGGGGAGCTCAGCCGCGTCGCCAAAATCCGTACGCCAGGCATCGCTCAGACGGGCGAAGTAGCGGGACTCTGCGTGACCAATCGTCTCGCAAGGCTGACCAGTCCGAGCACCAGTGCGAATGACGTACGGACAGCGCGCAGTACCCCGTGACCCGTCACGCTGAGCGTACCTTTCACGAAGCTGCTGGGGTGAAAGGACCGCGCACGGACGACGCTGCAGCTGCACCTGGCCACCACAAGCAGCTGCCAAACTACTCACTCCAGGACGACTCCCACTACGGCCACCCCGACAACCCCAAGTAGCGTACCACTCACGAAGCTGCTGGGGGGTGAGGGACTCACGCGGACGTCGCTGGAGCTGCATCTGGCCACCGCCAGGAGCAGCACGAGCAGTGGTAGCCGCAGTAGCAGCAGTAGTAGCAACAGTAGTAGTCGCAGCGCGGCCACCCCTACAACCCCAACTAGCGTACCACTCACGAAGCTGTTGGGGGGCGAGGGACTCACGCGGACGGCGCTGGAGCTGCATCTGGCGACGCTAGGAGCAGCACTAGCAATAGAAATAGCAGTAGCAGTAAGAGTAGCAGTAACAGCAGTACGGGCAGGGCAGTGCTCACCAGTGGCGAGAAGGGCAGGCGTACGACAGCGGCAATGGCGAGGCCGCTACCACTGTAGGGCGAGGGCTCCGCGGCAGCTGCAGGGGCGGCTGCTCCAGGGGCGGCTGCTGCAGGGGCGGCTGCTGCTCCAGGGGCGGCTGCTCCAGGGGCGGCTGCTGCAGTGGCGGCTGCTCCAGGGGCGACTGCTGCAGGGGCGGCTGCTCTAGGGGCGGCTGCTGCAGGGGTGGCTGCTCCAGGGGCGGCTGCTGCAGTGGCGGCTACTCCAGGGGCGGCTGCTTCAAGGGCGACTGCTCCAGGGGCGGCTGCTGCAGGGGCGGCTGCTCCAGGGGCGGTTGCTGCAGGGGTGGCTGCTCCAGGGGCGGTTGCTGCAGTGGCGGCTGCTCCAGGGTTGGCTGCTCCAGGGGCGGCTGCTGCAGTCGCGGCTGCTCCAGGGGCGGCTACTTCAAGGGCGGCTGCTCCAGGGGCGGCTGCTGCAGGGGCGGCTGCTCCAGGGGCGGCTGCTGCAGTGACGGCTGCTCCAGAGGCGGCTGCTGCAGTGGCGGCTGCTCCAGGGCGCGGGTTAGGGGAGGGCGCCGCCGCGGGCAGGGGTGACGCCACGCGGGTTATGCAGTGGTTTCGCGACGCGCAAGAGCCGCGCCTCGCGGGTCCCGCAGGGGCGTCGCGACGAGGCGGGGGCGACGCGGCGGGGCCGCGACTGGCGACGGGGCGGGGCCGCGACTGGCGACGGGGCGGGGCCGCGACTGGCGACAGGGCGGGGCCGCTACGGGCAGCGGGGCGGGGCCGCGAAGGGAGCCGCGAGTGGGCCGCGAAGGGGCCGTGAAGGGGCTGCGAAGGGGCCGCGAAGGGGCCGTGAAGGGGCCGCGAAGGGGCCGCGAAGGGGCCGCGAAGGGGCCACGAAGCGGCCGCGAGGGGGCCACGAAGGCGCCGCGAAGGGGCCGTGAAGGGGCCGCGAAGGGGCCGTGAAGGGGCCGCGAAGGGGCCGCGAAGGGGCGACTCGGGCACGGGCAAAGCGCGCTCCGGGCAGGAAAAAAAAATCGATATTCGGTGGGCCCTAGGAAACGTTCCCACTAGGGAACCTGCTCTATACCATGTGAAAGAACGAGGAATGTGTGCACTAGGAAACAGGTGGGTACAAGTAGGAAAACCTAAAAGTGTTTTACCCCATATTGTCTACCCCACTACAGCCTACACAGACTATAGCATATAAGTTTGACATGCTCCCCTTCCCTCTCCCCTCCTCCTTGCTCGTCTCCCACTGCTGCAGCTGCTGCTGAGGGGGGTGGAGGTGTGGGAGCCGAGGGGAGTGGAGCCGGGGGGGTGACGTGGGAGTGGAGTTAGGGTTTCTGCAGGGGGTGTGTGAGAGGGGCGTGGGACGGTCGGGGGAGGTTGTGTGGAGGCTGCCGTCGTATCGCTTACAGCGCCAGTAGTCAGGAGCCGTCGTGCTCTCGGTAGCCCAGAGAGCCTGGTGTGCCTGTCGCCCGTGGGTCTGTTGCTCCTGCCGCTCGTCGTAGCCGCGGAGCCTGTTACTCCTGTAGTCCGGTGCCCTCGTGCGCTCGGTAGCCACTGTGTGCGTGCTCCTGTTGCCCGTGTGACTGCAGCTTCAGCCGTCGTCTCCCATCTTCTCTCCCCTCACAATTCCTCCTCCTCACTTGCCCTCTGTGATCGCCTCTAGCTTTGCTTATAATTGTAAACTATTGCTATGCCTGCTCATTGTGCTGATTACACTCCACTTTGGCTATGGGGGTGTGTCAGAATGTTATTATTGTCTAGCCTGAAGTGGGGTACTCTATAGCGAGTACAACCCAATTAGGGTTTCATTTACGTATGCCAACTGTTGCTAGTGCAAACCATCCTTTCTTCATTTCTGTTCCTGACTTCTTGTTTCTGACAAACATGGATATCGAAACAAAAAAGACATGCGTTACAAACTGCAAACTCAAATCTCTTGAAATCATGATCGTTTTGGGTGGTTGGTTTTCTAACCCATAGCCTAAATTACAAAACTCAGTCAACACAAGGCTTGGGTTGGGGTGGGGTCAAGCAATCTGAGGTTCGGATGAATTGCGAAAAATGCTTGTTAGCAAAAACAATGTAGCGACAACCTGGTGCCGCTACCAAGCAAATGACTCGAGAAGAATGTGTACACAACACCAACTGAATGGTAGGGAGCAGCCTAACATACCTCGACATACCTCTGGCTACTCGACGGACTGTTTAGAGGACTTGTACTAGTACCACCAACTTCCTCCAAGATATTAACCAAGCCCACAACGAGAATGGCCCATGAACAAAATGAGTCGGACGAGACGCAATTAGCTTTTCCGACACTAAACTCATTCGGCCTTCCCGACGCAAGCGCATTTAGCCGTCCCTAAAACGAAACGCATCAAGTAGTTCGGACGCTCAAAACAATAGCAAACCTTCCCGACGTGAAATGCAATTGCTAGACTTCCCGACACGAAAAGCATTTGGCTATGACGGAAGGGAGTGAGCGTGAGCAGTTACATCTCCAGTTTGGTGTGCACACCACAGCCCAAAGTTGTTGCGCAGGAACCGAGCGACCCTTCCCCGTGATGCATGGGACTTCATCACGTTTTGCAGATGAACGCATGGTAACCACCCTGGTTCGGAAGAGAAAGTATTAACACCTCAAAACACCTTCTGTCATTCAGACTGCGGGTTTTAATATTCGCGAAATACCTCAGCGGAATTGGGTCGATAGCTCCGTTGACCCTTTGACGACCTGACGACCTGCTGCCCCTGGTCAGAAAAAAACTAAAACCCGATCGGATGGCATTCTATCCAATGGAGGCATCAAACCTAAACGCATGCCTCCAGGTGTTCAGGGTTGATGCCTCCCTGACCGGATGCATGCCCGAATGGGTTATATATATATATATTCTCCCCGTGGGCAGCGAGCTCCGCTGGGTGGAGTCAGTTGTCTGCTGAGATATGCCATTCGTGATCATTCTCTACTGATGAACCAGTTACAAAACACATTAAAACTCTAATGTTTATCGTACACATTATTGAGCCTCATGGTCGTAACCATTCGTATATTCTCCCCTTTTAGAAGTGGGGGGGGGGGTTTTCTCGCTAACCCTCGCGACATTCCGTAGTTACGGGGTCGCCACTCCCGTAGCCACTCTTGACTGCTATGCCCAACTATCGAACGCGCCAGTTGAAAGAAGGCGCAGGAATCCGTTTCTTAGGAGGGCTCCGAACGAGTGCGCGACAAGGTTAGCAAGGCGCGGGTCGTAGCAGTAGAGGCGCGGGTCGTAGCAGTAGAGGCGCGGGTCGCAGCAGGAGAGGCGCAGCGATGGCGGGGAGCGAGCAGGAGATGTGCCTCGTGTGCTTCAGCGTCAACTGCATGGAGAAGGTGCGTCACAGTTTCAACTGCATGGAGAAGGTGCGTTACAGTCTCAACTGCATGGAGAAGGTGCGTTAGTACAGTTTCAACTTCATGTTAGTACAGTTTCAACTGCATCGTGGCGACGACTGCATGTGCGTTACAGCATGATCCGCATGGAGCAGGTTCGTTACAATGTCAAATAGACAGCCCGCAGCAGCATCGATCCGTCTATCTGAGAAGCGGCGCAACCCCATTGCCTTCCCCCCACCCCCACCCCCCGCTCGCGCCCGGCAGGACGGGCACGCGGGCGCCATGCGGTGCAGCGAGTGCGGCATGGTGTCGCAGCAGTTCCGCGGGGAGGACGCCTTCTGAGGCGCCTCCAAAGCCCACTCCCCCCCACCCCCCTCCCTCTGCTCCCCCCCCCTCCATCCCCCCCCCGCCCCCCCTCCCCCCTTCCCCCCCCCCTCCCCCCATCAGGACGACCACACGGGCGCCATGCGGTGCAGCGAGTGCGGCATGGTGTCGCAGCAGTTCCGCGAGGAGGACAACGAGGGCGGCGCGGGCGGCGCGGGCGGAGGCGCGGCGGGGACGGGGGTGGGGGGGATGGGGGGGTCGCAGGCGGTGGTGCGCGAGAGCAACGTGGCGCTGCACCAGCAGCGGCAGGACGTCGCTGCGGCGGACGCCGCCAGGGCTGCTCGCGCCGTCAGCCTGCAAGTGCAGGTGGGAGGTGGGGATGGGGTGTGGAGTGCAGGTGGGAGGTGGGGATGGGGTGTGGATTGCAGGTGGGAGGTGGGGATGGGGCGTGGAGTGCAGGTGGGGCGTTGAGTGGGCGGCAAGTGCAGGGGGCTTACAATGGTGCGCAAGGTGAGGGCGAGAAATTGTGACCCCATGCGTTCTCGCCTCCTCGTGTGCGCCTGCTCGCTGTCCCTTGCCCGCACTCCCTCTCACGAGGGTTTAGGGGTTAGGGGACCATGCGCCATGTACGCTTGCAAACTGTGAAGAGAGCAAGATTTTTCCCATCTGCCTACCATCAATGCCAACCACCCCCTCCACATCCCCTTTTTTCCTCCCCACCTCACCCCTTCCTCTTCCACCTAAACCCCCACCTCACCCCCACCCCCCCTTCCCCCCCCTTCCTCCCCTTCTTCTTCCCGCCCACCCCGCGCTCCCTCCCCCAGGCGCACGCCCTGGCGGAGCACTATAGCACGGGGCTTCACGCCATGCTGGCCCGCCAGTGCCACGCCATGCCTTCCATTACTGCTGCCCCCTCCCCCACCTTTCCCCCCTTCCACCCACCCCCTTCCACTCCCCCCCCTTCCCCAGGCGCACGGCCTAGCGGAGCACTACTGCGCGGGGCTGCACGCCATGCTGGCAGAGCGCTCTCTCATCTCACCTCCCCTCTCCCCCCTCCTCCTCCCCCCTCCTCCTCCCCCCCCTCCCCCTCCAGGCGCACGCCCTGGCGGAGCACTACTGCGCGGGGCTTCACGCCATGCTGGCCCGCCAGTGCCACGCGCTCTCCGCCCTGCTCGCCCCGCCCACACCTGCTCCGCCCCAGGGGCCCATGGGGGAGGGCGGGGAGCGCAAGGAGCAGGACACTGCTGCTGCTGCGGCTGCCTCGGCTGCCAATGCAGCAGCGCTGAGCAGCGTGGCGCGGCAGATCCTGCTGCGCCTCGTGCTGCACTCGGGTGTGCTCCGCCAAGGGTATGCCGAGCGCTGCTGGCTGCTGTGGCGCGTGGGTGAGGGCACATGGGGAGGGGGGCACGCTTGGGAGGAAGGGGAAAGGGGTGCGGGAGGGGTTGGGGGAGGGGGAAATGGGGAGGAGGGATGGGGAGGGGAGGCGAAGTCTGGTGGAAGGAAGAGACGAGGTGGAGGTGAGATGGGAGGGGAAGGGGGGGAGGCACTGCAACGGGAGATGGCAGGGTGGGGCATGGAGGGCGGGAGCGGGGGCTTTGGGGGAATGGGGTGCGCGGCAGCGCAGGGGGCAGGCGAAGAAGGGAGAGACAAAGAGGGGAACGGCGCAGTGGGTGGCACGGGGCAGCACGAGGAGGAGGATGAGTGGGCGCGGGAGCTGCGGGCGATTCTGGCGGGCGCGAGGCGGAGCAGGCGGCAAGAGAGGGAGGAGGTGAGGAAGCGGGCGAGGCGGGCGCGGAGGAAGAAGTGGGGGCAGTTTGAAGCGGAGCTGGCGGCCATTCGGGAGGACGAGGCTGCTGAGAGACGCGAAGGAAGTGAGGGGATGGGGGGGGATGGGATGGGAGTGGAAGGGGAGGGAGAGGAGGAGGAAGGAGGGAAGGGGGGGAGTGAGAAGGCGTCGATGAGGGAGACGTGGTTTGCTCTGGCGGAGAGGCTTCAGACAAGCCCTTTCTTTGCCGTCACCTGCAAGCTGCACGTGTGAGTGAGTGAGGCCCTTGAGTGGTTGGTGGCGCGCTTATTGTTGCTGCTGTGAGCACCATACCGTCACTGGCAAGGCACGGCAACACCACTCCACTCCACTTGCATGGCTACCTCCACTTCACTCCACTTCCCGTTTCCCTTCCCGCCTCATGTTCGCTCCCCTCGCCTCATGTTCGCTCCCCTCGCCTCATGTTCGCTCCCCTCGCCTCATGTTCGCTCCCCTCGCCTCATGTTCGCCCCCCTCGCCTCATGTTCGCTCCCCTCGCCTCATGTTCGCCCCCCTCGCCTCATGTTCGCTCCCCTCGCCTCATGTTCGCTCCCCTCGCCTCATGTTCGCTCCCCTCGCCTCATGTTCGCTCCCCTCGCCTCATGTTCGCTCCCCTCGCCTCATGTTCGCTCCCCTCGCCTCACCTTGCATGTCCCCTGACTGCACTCCTGCTTCTCATCTCATCTCCCACAACCCAAATCCCCCAACCCATCTTCTCGCTCACCTCAGTCTTCTTCCTCGCCTTGCATGCCCCCTCACCCTCACTGCCTTGCTTCTCACCTCCACCTGTTTCCCTCTTTCACCCCGTTCCCCCCCCCCCCCAGCCACCTACCACTGCACGCCTCACTCGCTTCCCTCTACCTCGCCTCTCACTACCTCCGCCTGCCGCTGCTCCCCACCGACATCTGCCACCTGGCGCTCTCCGGTTCGCTGCCCTACCTGTCCGCGTGGCGCCAGCTGTCGCCCTTCGAGGGCTACCCCGCCAGCGTCCCACCCGCCACGCTCTTCCGTCCGCTCGCCCTCTGCTCTGCTCGCCTGCTCGAGCTGCTCGCTGCCTCTGCTGCCGCATCCATCGCCCTGCGCCTGCCCCCCCTCAACTTCCGCCTAATTGGGGAGCGGTTTCTTCAGGTACATGCTAGATGCGCCCTCTCACTCTGTTACGCCTGTCAGGTTGAGCGAGCAGCGGTGATCACAATCCATTCGAATTGGGCTCTCGTTGCAAAAAAGTCAAGTCCTGTGTCAAGTCGTGTGTCCCCCGTATAAAGTCACCTCTTCTGCCCCCGATCATCTTTCTCCCACTGTTTTCCCCTCTCCCCAACCCCCGTCCCTTTAGCGTTCTAACGAAGCCCCGTCCTTTCCGCTTTCTCCCAAATTCCCGTCCCTTCCGCTTTCTCCCCAAACCCCGTCCCTTCCGCTTTTTCCCCAAACCCCGTCCCTTCCGCTTTCTCCCCAACTCCCGTCCCTTCCGCTTTCTCCCCAAACCCCGTCCCTTCCGCTTTCTCCCCAAACCCCGTCCCTTCCGCTTTCTCCCCAAACCCCGTCCCTTCCGCTTTCTCCCCAAACCCCGTCCCTTCCACTTTCTCCCCAAACCCCGTCCCTTCCGCTTTCTCCCAAATTCCCGTCCCTTCCGCTTTCTCCCCAAACCCTGTCCCTTCCGCTTTCTCCCCAAACCCCGTCCCTTCCGCTTTCTCTCCAAACCCCGTCCCTTCCGCTTTTTCCCCAAACCCCGTCCCTTCCGCTTTCTCCCCAAATCTCGTCCCTTCCGCTTTCTCCCCAAACCCCGTCCCTTCCGCTTTCTCCCCAAACCCCGTCCCTTCTGCTTTCTCCCCAAATCCCGTCCCTTCCGCTTTCTCCCCAACTCCCGTCCCTTCTGCTTTCTCCCCAAACCCCGTCCCTTCCGCTTTCTCCCCAAACCCCGTCCCTTCCGCTCTCCCCAAATCCCGTCCCTTCCGCTTTCTCCCCAAACCCCGTCCCTTCCCCTTTCTCCCAAAACCCCGTCCCTTCCGCTTTCTCCCCAACTCCCGTCCCTTCCGCTTTCTCCCCAAACCCCGTCCCTCCCGCTTTTTCCCCAATTCCCGTCCCTTCCGCTTTCTCCCCATATCCCGTCCCTTCCGCTTTCTCCCCAAACCCCGTCCCTTCCGCATTCTCCCCAACTCCCGTCCCTTCCGCTTTCTCCCCAAACCCCGTCCCTTCCGCTTTCTCCCCATTCCCGTCCCTTCCGCTTTCTCCCCAAACCCCGTCCCTTCTGCTTTCTCCCCAAACCCCGTCCCTTCCGCTTTCTCCCCAAACCCCGTCCCTTCTGCTTTCTCCCCAAATCCCGTCCCTTCCGCTTTCTCCCTAACTCCCGTCCCTTCTGCTTTCTCCCAAAACCCCGTCCCTTCCGCTTTCTCCCCAAACCCCGTCCCTTCCGCTTTCTCCCCAAACCCCGTCCCGTCCGCTTTCTCCCTAAACCCCGTCCCTTCCGCTTTCTCCCAACTCCCGTCCCTTCCGCCTTCTCCCCAAACCCCGTCCCTTCCGCTTTCTCCCCAAACCCCGTCCCTTCCGCTTTCTCCCCGAACCCCATCCCTTCCGCTTTCTCCCCAACCCTTCCAATTTCTCCCCAAACCCCGTCCCTTCCGCTTTTTCCCCAAACCCCGTCCCTTCCGCTTTCTCCCCAACTCCCGTCCCTTCCGCTTTCTCCCCAAACCCCGTCCCTTCCGCTTTCTCCCCAAACCCCGTCCCTTCCGCTTTCTCCCCAAACCCCGTCCCTTCCGCTTTCTCCCCAAACCCCGTCCCTTCCCCTTTCTCCCAAAACCCCGTCCCTTCCGCTTTCTCCCCAACTCCCGTCCCTTCCGCTTTCTCCCCAAACCCCGTCCCTCCCGCTTTCTCCCCAATTCCCGTCCCTTCCGCTTTCTCCCCATATCCCGTCCCTTCCGCTTTCTCCCCAAACCCCGTCCCTTCCGCATTCTCCCCAACTCCCGTCCCTTCCGCTTTCTCCCCAAACCCCGTCCCTTCCGCTTTCTCCCCAATCCCGTCCCTTCCGCTTTCTCCCCAAACCCCGTCCCTTCCGCTTTCTCCCCAAACCCCGTCCCTTCCACTTTCTCCCAAATTCCTGTCCCTACCGCTTTCTCCCCAAATCCCGTCCCTTCCGCTTTCTCCCTAACTCCCGTCCCTTCTGCTTTCTCCCAAAACCCCGTCCCTTCCGCTTTCTCCCCAAACCCCGTCCCTTCCGCTTTCTCCCCAAACCCCGTCCCGTCCGCTTTCTCCCTAAACCCCGTCCCTTCCGCTTTCTCCCAACTCCCGTCCCTTCCGCCTTCTCCCCAAACCCCGTCCCTTCCGCTTTCTCCCCAAACCCCGTCCCTTCTGCTTTCTCCCCGAACCCCATCCCTTCCGCTTTCTCCCCAACCCTTCCACTTTCTCCCCAAACCCCGTCCCTTCCCCTTTTTCCCCAAACCCCGTCCCTTCCGCTTTCTCCCCAACTCCCGTCCCTTCCGCTTTCTCCCCAAACCCCGTCCCTTCCGCTTTCTCCCCAAACCCCGTCCCTTCCGCTTTCTCCCCAAACCCCGTCCCTTCCGCTTTCTCCCCAAATCCCGTCCCTTCCGCTTTCTCCCCAAACCCCGTCCCTTCCGCTTTCTCCCCAATCCCGTCCCTTCCGCTTTCTCCCCAAACCCCGTCCCTTCTGCTTTCTCCCCAAACCCCGTCCCTTCCGCTTTCTCCCCAAACCCCGTCCCTTCTGCTTTCTCCCCAAATCCCGTCCCTTCCGCTTTCTCCCTAACTCCCGTCCCTTCTGCTTTCTCCCAAAACCCCGTCCCTTCCGCTTTCTCCCCAAACCCCGTCCCTTCCGCTTTCTCCCCAAACCCCGTCCCGTCCGCTTTCTCCCTAAACCCCGTCCCTTCCGCTTTCTCCCAACTCCCGTCCCTTCCGCCTTCTCCCCAAACCCCGTCCCTTCCGCTTTCTCCCCAAACCCCGTCCCTTCTGCTTTCTCCCCGAACCCCATCCCTTCCGCTTTCTCCCCAACCCTTCCACTTTCTCCCCAAACCCCGTCCCTTCCGCTTTCTCCCCAACTCCCGTCCCTTCCGCTTTCTCCCCAAACCCCGTCCCTTCCGCTTTCTCCCCAAACCCCATCCCTTCCGCTTTCTCCCCAAACCCCGTCCCTTCCGCTTTCTCCCCAAACCCCGTCCCTTCCGCTTTCTCCCCAAACCCCGTCCCTTCTGCTTTCTCCCCGAACCCCATCCCTTCCGCTTTCTCCCCAACCCTTCCACTTTCTCCCCAAACCCCGTCCCTTCCGCTTTCTCCCCAACTCCCGTCCCTTCCGCTTTCTCCCCAAACCCCGTCCCGTCCGCTTTCTCCCCAAACCCCGTCCCTTCCGCTTTCTCCCCAAATCCCGTCCCTTCCGCTTTCTCCCCAAACCCCGTCCCTTCCGCTTTCTCCCCAATCCCGTCCCTTCCGCTTTCTCCCCAAACCCCGTCCCTTCTGCTTTCTCCCCAAACCCCGTCCCTTCCGCTTTCTCCCCAAACCCCGTCCCTTCTGCTTTCTCCCCAAATCCCGTCCCTTCCGCTTTCTCCCTAACTCCCGTCCCTTCTGCTTTCTCCCAAAACCCCGTCCCTTCCGCTTTCTCCCCAAACCCCGTCCCTTCCGCTTTCTCCCCAAACCCCGTCCCGTCCGCTTTCTCCCTAAACCCCGTCCCTTCCGCTTTCTCCCAACTCCCGTCCCTTCCGCCTTCTCCCCAAACCCCGTCCCTTCCGCTTTCTCCCCAAACCCCGTCCCTTCTGCTTTCTCCCCGAACCCCATCCCTTCCGCTTTCTCCCCAACCCTTCCACTTTCTCCCCAAACCCCGTCCCTTCCGCTTTCTCCCCAACTCCCGTCCCTTCCGCTTTCTCCCCAAACCCCGTCCCTTCCGCTTTCTCCCCAAACCCCGTCCCTTCTGCTTTCTCCCCGAACCCCGTCCCTTCCGCTTTCTCCCCAAACCCCGTCCCTTCCACTTTCTCCCAAATTCCTGTCCCTACCGCTTTCTCCCCAAGCCCTGTCCCTTCCGCTTTCTCCCCAAACCCCGTCCCATCCGCTTTCTCCCCAAACCCCGTCCCTTCCGCTTTCTCCCCAAATCCCGTCCCTTCCGCTTTCTCCCCAAACCCCGTCCCATCCGCTTTCTCCCCAAACCCCGTCCCTTCCGCTTTCTCCCCAAACCCCGTCCCTTCCACTTTCTCCCAAATTCCTGTCCCTACCGCTTTCTCCCCAAGCCCTGTCCCTTCCGCTTTCTCCCCAAACCCCGTCCCATCCGCTTTCTCCCCAAACCCCGTCCCTTCCGCTTTCTCCCCAAATCCCGTCCCTTCCGCTTTCTCCCCAAACCCCATCCCTTCCGCTTTCTCCCCAAACCCCGTCCCTTCCACTTTCTCCCAAATTCCTCTCCCTACCGCTTTCTCCCCAAGCCCTGTCCCTTCCGCTTTCTCCCCAAACCCCGTCCCATCCGCTTTCTCCCCAAACCCCGTCCCTTCCGCTTTCTCCCCAAATCCCGTCCCTTCCGCTTTCTCCCCAAACCCCGTCCCTTCCGCTTTCTCCCCAAACCCCGTCCCTTCCGCTTTCTCCGCAAACCCCGTCCCTTCCGCTTTCTCCCCAAACCCCGTCCCTTCCGCTTTCTCCCAAACCCCCCCCTCACCCGCCTCTGCATTGCCCCCTCCGTCCCTCTCCCCTTCCTTCCCTCTCTCCCTGTCCCGTTCCACCCCTCCGTACCCCTCCGTCCCATCCCTCCCTCCCCTCTGTTCCTCCTGCCCCACCAGGAGCTGCACCTACCCGTACCGCTCTTCGCCCCTTTCCTGCACCGCCTCTTTGACCTCCTTTGCCCCTCCGCCTCCCTTGCCCCTTCCCTCCCATCCCTCCTCCCCCGCTTCCACCTCTCGCCCCACCCCTCTGGGTGGCCCACGCGCCTCTACGTCATGGCAGCGGTCGTTGTCTCCCTCAAGCTCGCCCTCGCCCTCGGCTCCTGGCCCTGCCTCAACCCTTCATCATGCACACGCGCAAGGGCATCGCCAACACCAGCAGCAAGAGCATCAGCAGCAGTGGCAGCAGCAGCATCAGCAGGAGCAGCAGGGGGTGGAGCGGCGGTGTGCAAGGCTGCTGTGGCTGCCCCGCGCGCCACGGTGTCGCTGGCTCGGGGCGCGGTGTCGGGGTGGCAGCACATGCTGCAGCAGCGCAAGCAAGGCGATGCAAGGCAAGGCGGGTCGCTGGCAGGGAAGGTAGACGAGGGGCGAGGGGAGGATGGGGTGGAGGGGCAGGAGGAGGGGGAGGAGGAGGGGGAGGAGGAGGGGGAGGAGGAGGGGGTAGGGGAGGAGGAAGGGAAGGAGGAAGGGGAGGAAGGGGAGGAAGGGGAGTGGGATGTGCGGCGGGTGGTGCAAGCAGTGGAGGGCATCCGGCAGCAGCTGCTGCAGATGCCCATGCAGACCCGTGCTGGGGCTGGCGGGGGACGCATGCAGGGAGAGGGGGAGGATGGATCAGAGGGAAGAGGTGAACCCCTGTTGCAGGGGCGTGAGGTGTGAGGGGTGGGGTGTAAGGGGTGGGGTGTGAGGGGTGGGGTGTGAGGGGTGGGGTGTGAGGGGTGGGGTGTGAGGGGTGGGGCGTGAGGGGTGGGGTGTGAGGGGTGGGGTGTGGAGTTGAGCATGTGGCCCGACCCGGCCCGACCCGACCCGATTTGGCCGGGCCACACGGGCCCTCGGGTCGGGTCGGGCCGACCTCGGGCCTACTGACTCGGGTCAAAGAGGACCCGGGGTCGGGTCGGGGCGGGTCGGTCCAGGCAGACCCGCCCCCTTAGGGGAGGCTGGGGGTATTCATCACAATGTGCAACGAAACGTGTGCTCGCGGATTCCCCGTCACCGTGCAAGCAGCCGACGCAAACCTATGTGAAATCGTGCAGCGGTTGCCGGTAAATGCGTCCACTACAGCGGAAACGCCACGGATGTCGTGGGGTCAAAGGAAAGTAGAGGTTGCGCTTGAATTTAAGTACCCTAAAAACTACGAAATTGACCTGCGCGAAATGCACTACTAGTGCAGCCAGAATCTTATATCTACGAATATAACTGAAAGTATGTGCATTCGTGGGGGAAAGCCTAAGATAGGAGGTAGTTTAAAGGAAGGTACTTAATACTTTAAGGCCACTAGTTGCTGGGGTGGCGAATGTAAATCGACGGGGAAAAAATCCCCTCGATTGATTTACATTTGGGCTAGGGTTTCAGCCCTAGCCCTGTCGAAATCGGGTCGCGCACCTGGTCCGACCCGATTTCGACATTTTAGACCCGAAATCGGGTCGGGGCAGGCCCGACCCGAAACCCGACTCGGCCCGGCCCGAAATGGGCCCTCGGGTCGGGTCTTACCCCGGGTCGGGTCGGGTCGGCCCATACGGGGCAGAGATTCAGAAACCCTGACCCGACCCGGGCAAAACCACGGGTCGGGTCGGGTCGGCCCGACCCGAGCGGGGCACCTGCTCAACTCTAGTGTGAGGGGTGGGGTGTGAGGGGCGTGAGGCATGGGCTGTGCGGGGCATGAGAGGCTTGAAGGCCGTGAAGTGAGGAAGGCAACACCTGCCACACCTGCACTCGCTCACTCTCCATCCATCCTCTTCTGCCTTGCATCAACACCCACTCCCCATCCCCTTTCTTCCCTGCATGTCTGTCTAAACTCCAGCCATTATTGCCCCCTTGTCACACTCCTTCCCCTCCTCACCTCTACTCTCTCGCCCCCTCTCCTCCTCTTCCCTGATACTTGCCCCTGCTCTTCCCCCCCCCCTCTCCCCACTTTCCCACCTGCAGCGCCGCTGCAGCTGCGGCAGTACCTGCAGCACTGCGAGCGCCACGTGTTTGCCCCCGACGCCACGCGCGGCGCCGACCCCTCCACTCTCGACCGCGAGCTGCGCGCCCACCTGCACGCCGCCCTCCCCCTGCGGGCCCCCTCGCCTCCCGCAGCCCATGGGGACGCTCATGGGAGCGGTGTGGATGTGGAGAGGGACGAGACGGCACATGCGCAGGGCCGATGGGGAATGGAAGGAGGGAGAGAGGAGTGGATGGATATGGAGACGTGTGGAAAGGAGGGAGGGGAGAAGGGAAGGCAGAAACGGAAGCGAATGAAGGGAGAGAGGGCTGAGGGGGAGGGGGTGAGGGGTGAGGGGGAGAGGGAGAGGGCTCGGTGGTTCCCGGTGAGGGTGGAGGACGTGGAGGCGGACATGCGGCGGTGCGACTTCGCCATGGCTCCCCCACTGCCCCAGGTGCTGTGCTGCTCTGTGCTGCCCCAGGTGCTGTGCTGCTCTGTGCTGCTCTGCTCATGTGTTCCAGGTGTCATGCAGGCGTCATGCAGGCGTCATGCAGGTGTCATGCAGGTGTCATGCAGGTGTCATGCAGGTGTCATGCAGGTACCGCAGTTGTGTTTTGAGACACGTTGACATGCGGCGCGTGACTTCTCATGCCGCCCCCTCTGCCCCAGTGCTGCTCTGCTCTGCCCCAGTGCTGCTCTGCTCTGCCCCAGTGCTGCTCTGCTCTGCCCCAGTGCTGCTCTGCTCTGCCCCAGTGCTGCTCTGCTCTGCCCCAGTGCTGCTCTGCTCTGCCCCAGTGCTGCTCTGCTCTGCCCCAGTGCTGCTCTGCTCTGCCCCAGTGTTGCGCTGCCCCAGGGCCTGTTGTGCTCTGCTCATGTATCGCAGGTGTCATGCAGGTGGCACAGTTGTTTGTGACATGGTGTCATGTGTCCTGAAATGGTATTGGATAGTGGTTACATGTCTCTTCTTGGTTGTGATTAGGGATATCAGTGAAATTGGGGGTGGGGCATGGTGATCAATAGAGTTCGGGCTTCCACCATGGAAGTTTGAGCCAGTGTGGAAATTTGCACCATGGAATATCGAGTTCTTCCAAATGCATGCATCGACCCAAGCAGCTCGGTACCAATGCCATTCTAAGTCATACGCCTTGCCTGCGCCATGCTCTTCTGGGCCAGAAACCATGCGTCACCCTCACCCAAACCCCCCGTTCAGTCGACGTACACTTTCCCTCACTCCCCCCTTCCCCTTACCCCCTCCCCAACATTCTCCTCTTGCGGCCCATCCCCTGCGCTGCAGTGAGCCCGTGTTCCACAAGTGCCCGCGGGCGCGCATGCCTTCATCTCCACACACTCGAACCCCCTCCTTCCCCCCGCCCTCCCCTCCCCCCTCTCCCCCGCCCCCCTGGCAGCCCCTGTGTGGCAGTGAGCTGGTGTACTACGAGTGTGATAGGATTCAATAATGATTGAGTAATGAGCCAAGGAGTCTCTATAATACAAGCATGCAAGGAAGAAAAGAGTGGAGGAGGAGCTAACCCTATTGGCCACTAAGTTGGCCAATGGGAGTGATGCCTTGTGGAGGAGGAAACCCCACATTGTAGCTAGGTAGCGATTGGTTGGTGTTAGGACCAAAAGTTGGCAAGTGCCAACCAAGGACCAAGACCAAATCCAATCTTGACCAACCACAAAGTGTGGTTGGAGTGTACACTCAACCCCCCAAGAACATAAGGGACTACACCTATTCTAGCCTATGGATGTTGTATATAATGTACATTTACAACACAACCCCCCAACATGCATAAGGCTAGAAGATGTAATCAGGAGGCCGCCAAAACCGGAGGAGGGGTGAGGCCAAGGAGGGGCAGAAGGAAGGAGTGGGATGCCTGGGGAAGGGCTTTGGTGAAGATGTCAGCAAGGCTGGCCGCCGAGTCGATTTTGCCAAGGCGAAGGTGGCCGGCCTCAACGAGATCACGAATGAAGAAGAAGCGAAGCTCAATGTGTTTGGAGCGCCCATGATACACAGCATCCTTGGTGAGGTGGATGGTGCTGGCGTTGTCACACCAGATGGTGGGACAGCGTTGGGGGGCTCCAAGCTCATCAAGGAGGAAAGTGAGCCAGCGCGCCTCTTGCGCGGCCATGGTTGCAGCGTAGAGCTCTGCTTCGCAGGAGGAGAGGGCGACGGCAGAGGAGCGTGTGGACCGCCAGCTGATGAGACCGCTGCCAAGAGAGAAACCATAACCCTGAGAGGACCGCCGATCCGGTCGAGAGTCAGCCTAGGAAGAGTCGCTGTAGCCGTTGAGGAGGGGAGGGGAAGGGCCGCCAAGGGTAAGGACATAGTCCTTGGTGCCACGAATGTAGCGAAGGACGCGCTTGGCGGCCTGCCAGTGCTCTTCCGTATGCTTGCCAGCGCAAACGAAGCGAGCGAGGACGCTGATGGGGTAGGCAAGGTCAGGGCGAGTAGAAACCATGGCGTACATGAGAGAGCCGATGAGTTCAGGATAAGGATGGGAGGAGGGAGAGGGAGAGGAGGGTGGGGAGAGGTGGTGCCCAACCGAGAGGGGAGTGGGCTGCGGGCTGCCGCGCGCCATTTCAAACCGGTCCAAAACCTGCTGGAGGTAGTGACCCTGAGAAAGAGAGATGGTGCGGGCAGAGCGGTCGCGAGTGATGGTCATGCCGAGGTAGTGCTGCAGCTCGCCCAGGTCTTTGCACTTGAGACGGCTGCCCAGCTCCGTCTTGACATTCTCGAGTTCGGCAAGGTCGGCAGTGAGGAGGATCATATCGTCAACATAGACGAGGATGTAGAAGGGGGAGGGGGAGGTGCGGAGGAAAAGACTGGCGTCAGAGCGGGAGGTGCGAAACCCAAGCTCGGCAAGGGTGGCTGCAAGCTTGGCATGCCACTCCCTGAGTGCCTGGCGGAGCCCGTACACGGGCCGGCGCAGCTGCCAGACGGAGTCGGCGGGGAAGGGGAGGTGGAAACCCGCTGGGCGCTCCATGTAGATCAGCTCACGTAGCACGCCTTGCAGGAAGGCGTTGGAGACATCCATCGAGTGGATCTCCATGTTGAGGCGAGCGGCGAGGTCGAGTACGGCGCGAACGGTAGCAGGCTTGGCGGTGGGGGAGAAGGTGTCGAAGAAGTCAAAACCATACCGCTGCGTAAAACCCTTGGCACAATACCGGGCCTTGTAGACGGGTGGCTCTCCAGGTAGCTGTTTGACGCGAAACACCCACTTCCCCTTCACTACGTTCGTAGAGGGGGGAGGGCGAGGCACATCAACGAAGCAGGAGTTGGCGACAAATGCCTCCAGCTCCTTGATGATGGCGGCAAGCCAGAGCGGGGCGTCGGGGCAAGCCATGGCTTCCTCATATGTGGTTGGGATGAAGATGGAGGGAGCAGAGGAAAAGGCGAAAACTGGTGTTCCAGAGAGGTCAAAGGTGATGGGGAGGAGGGAGGGGTCAGAGAGGTGGAGGTCAAGGAACTCCTCATGGGAGTCCTCAGAGAGGGAGGTATGAAAGGCGCGGATGACCGCAGGTGCCGCTGCACGCGCTGCTGCTGGTGCGGCTGCTGGTGCCGCTGCTGGTGCCGCTGCTGGTGCTGGTGCGGATGCCGCTGCTGGTGCTGGTGCGGATGCCGCTGCTGCCGCTGCACTCGCCGCTGCTGGTGCCGGTGCCGGAGCAGATGCCGGTGCTGGTGTTGCACTTGCCGCTGCTGGTGCCGCTGCGGTGGCTGCTGCTGGAGCTGTTGCTGCTGCTGTTGGAGAGGTGGTTGAGGGGGCTGGTGCATGAGGGGCTTGATGCAAGACAGCCTGGAAGAAGTGGTGAAGGAGGGGAGAAAGAGGGGAGAGGGTAGAGGTAGAGAGGGTAACAGGGGGCGGTGCACCAAGGATACTGTCACGTGACCTGGTGTGAGGATACCGGGTGAGTATGGTGCGGGGAGTGGGGGAGGGAGGTGAGGGTTGGGAGGGAGGGGGAGGAGGGGCACCAGGGGAGGAGTGAGCGGGGGAGACAGGGGAAGACAGGGGGTCCGGGTCAAAGATGTCACCAGACGAGGGGGGGGCACCATGGGACTGGGAGGGCGGAGGGGGAGGGGGAGGGGATGGGAGGATGGGGGGAGGAGGGAGGAGAGGGGGAGGGGTGGTGTCAGACCAGACAAGGGGACGAGTCAGAGGTGGGAGTGGGTCAGTGGACGGAGGAGAGGAATAGTACGGAGTGGATTCGTCAAAGACGACATCTCTGCTGCGAATTAGTTGACCGGAAGGGGGGTGGAGGAAAAGATAGTCAGGGGAAGAGGGGTTATGACCAAGGAAGATGCAGGGAAGGGTACGAGGGGCAAGTTTTCCAAGGGAACGGGATCGGTCAGACGGGTGAATGAGGACATAGGCCTTTGAGCCCCAGACTCGAAGAGGGGAGACATCGGGTTTGTCCTTTGTCCATAGCTCAGTGGGGGTGGTGGAGGGGAGGAGGGGGTGAGGGTAAAGGTTAGTAAGGAGGGCGGCATGAAGGAGGGCGTAGCCCCACAGAGAAGGGGGGCAGGAGGCGTGGACAAGAAGACACCGAGCCGTTTTGGTGATCTCCCGAACACGGCTCTCAGCGACACCGTTCTGCTGTGGGGAGTGAGGGAGGGTGTAAGTCTGAAGAATGCCGCGGGACTGGCAATAGGAGGAGATCTGGTTATTAAGGAACTCACCACCACCATCAGAGTGAAGGCGGCGAACAGGGAGCCCAAAGTGGGTGTTTGCCTGCTCGAGCCAGGCAATGATCGCAGTCGGGGCGTCCGCCTTCGTCCGAAGGAGAGAGACGGACGAGTACCGACTGTGATCATCGACGAGCACAAGGATGGCCTTGGCGAGTGGGGGAGGGGTTAGGGCCCCAGAGGTCCATGTGAACAAGATCAAGTGGCTGGGCTGCAGCGGAGGGGAAGCTCCGGTGCGGCTGCTGCTTGAGCTTGCTCTGAACACAGATGACGCAAGGGGGGGCAGGGGACTTTGGGAGGGGAGGGAGGGAGGAGGGGAGACCGTGGATGAGACCGGAGGATACAGAGGAGCGCAGAGTGGCGAAGTTGGGGTGACCTAGCCTGTGATGGAGGAGGATGGCAGGGTGGGAGAGGGAGCGACATGAGCAGTCAGAGTCAGGGGGGCGGGGGGGGACGGGTGGGTTAGTGGGAGGGAGGGGAGGGGGGGGGGGGGGGGAGGAGGGGGGGGGAGGCGACTTGGAAGGTGAGGGGGCGAGGAACCCGAAGGGTGTACAGACGGGAGCGGGGACAGTAGGGAATGCGAGCGAGGAAGCGACCTGTGGAGGTTTGGTAAAGATCACAATGGTTAGCACCACCTGGGGTGAGAGTGGTGATCATGGATTGTTGGAGGGACCTTTGGGAGAGGAGGTTAGTGCGAAGGGAGGGAATGTGAAGACCTGGGACGGTACCTGAGGGAAAGAGAGGACAGGGAAGGGTAGATGTGTTGTGACATGGGATGGAAAAGCTGCTATCAGCGCCGAGGAGGGACGTGGGTGTGGGGAGAGGATGGAGTTTGCCGGCATCGCGAAAGACATTGTCAGTGGCTCCACTGTCCAAGACGAACTCAAGGGTGGAGGAGGGTGAGGCGGAGTACTGAATTGAAGTTTCATTAATAGCAGGGGCATACATAAGGGATGCAACAGAAGGAGGCTGACTAAGCAGACCAACAAAGCCAGAGGAGGGAAAGGGAGTCACACTGCCACCTGTGGACGGCGAAGGGGAAGGACCGGAGAGGTGGGCCGCGGAGGCCGCATTCCCGGCGGTCCAGCTGGGAAACGGCTGCTGCTGGGGGACAGGAGGAGGAGGGAGGAGAGGAAGCTGGGGCTGGAGGTCGAGCTGCTGCTGGAGCTGCTGAAGCTGCTGCTGGAGCTGATGAAGCTGCTGCCCGTACTGCTGCGGCCCCTGCTGCTGGACACTCTGGTGCTGCTGCTGCTGCTGCTGGTGAGAGGGGAGAGCAAAGGCCTGGTGGGCCTGGGAGGAGGAGGAAGGGGCGTAAAGGGGAGAGGTGCTGACATCCAGGGGAGTGGGGCGGGGGTTGAGGGCGGACCAGCGAGGAGGGGTGCCAGAGTTCCCACGAGCGAACCACTCATCGCTGAGTGCCTTGAAGCACGTCTCAGTCGCATGAGTGGTTTGGTTGCAGCGTTGACCTCGGGTGGGGCCATAGAGGGGAAGATACTGACAGGGTGGGAAGGCCGCTGCTGCACCACGACCCACGCCACCACGACCGCCGGAGCCGCCTCGACCACCACCACGCCCACCTCCACGCCCCCCCCACGCCCGCCTTTGCTGCTGCG